CCGTTACAGTTATCTTAGCGCAATCGTTCACCCACACACTTGAAGAAGAGATGGAACTTCAAGCTCTACTCCCCACTTTCCGGGCCCCACTCCACCGGAAACCGGCATTCTACCACCAATTCTCTCGCTTTCGCTGCCTCAAAACGACGTCGGAGCTTCAAGCGCCGCCGCAGTTCACCGGAAGCAGCTCAACGTCTGCGTCAATTCCGAGTCACAAAATCACTGTCCATGACCGGCAACGCGGGTTAACTCACGAGTTCTTCGTTCCCGAGGTAACTGACTAACCTATAAATCCATAATCAACAAAATTCAAGTAAAAATAAGTAAATATTGAATATTGGATTTATTTTTATTTTGTGAATTTAATTTTGCAGGATCAATATATATTGCATACTGCAGAAGATCAGGACATTAGGCTTCCCTTCGCTTGCAGGCACGGTATTGTGTTTTTTTTCTTTTTTTTCAATGAAATCATTTATCTCCATTTTTTAGTCTAATTTGTTAATTGCTTGAATTAATAGGAATTAGCATTGATTATTGCAGTAATTCTGATGAAATGTTGCAAATTTTAGGTGTTTTTCACGAATTTTGGATAAAATTAATAAATTATACGAAGTAGTATTGTTTATAATTAGGAGCTTTCATGTGATTCTCTGGAAATGAGTGTGAAATTGTGAACTATAAGAAGCTATTAAGAAGAACATTCGGCCTAAAGTAAACATTAGTCATGTGATTTTGCCACAAGTACCATTCAAGTCTTATGCTTCGTAATTAGCCCTTAGAGTTACGTTACTGCGTACATGTTGTAAATCTGTTTATGTGTATGTCATACTGGGATAAATTGTCTTTGACATCAGCAGCTGTTTAATTTTACTTTGGTTAGATGAAGTATTGAATTATGTGTCAGTTGAGACCTCAGCAGAAAAACACACACACACACACACACCCTGTAATCCGTTGCCAATAAATTAACACTTTCATCACACTTGTGGGAATTGTCTTGTCCTGTTGATTGGACATTAAAGCTAGTTAAGCATTTGACAAAGTCGATAAATAAAGCTTTCCCTGCCAAATCATGTAATAAAGTGTTTGTCTTGGAGATTCTACGGTTAATAATACATCAAATATATAAACTTTTCAATCTTTACTCATTTCAAGGTGATATTTCATTACTATTTATGCATTACTAATCTTCACTGGATGGGCAACCTCCATTGTGGCAATGTAATGTTCAATGAAAAACCATGCTGTAGCATAAAAAATGTGTGTGCCGCGTTGGATTGCAGACTAATAGGGATTCTATAAAAGCGAGGAGTCAAAATGCAACTATTCTTGTATTCTTCTATGAAAATGTTTAAAAAGCCATCTACTAGAAGTTTATGTAGTTGTTACTACTTAATCAATTAACTAGGCTATGTGAATGAGGGAGTGTTAACAGTACTTCCACTTTTTATGCTTCCTTAAGTTTAAGTTATTGTTCTCATTTTACATTCTTGATTGCTTTGCAAAACCTACAATTTAATTGACATCTATCCTTTCCTTATTAAGCACAGAGTATCTTTTAAAATAAAGCGCATATATGTTAAGAAATTATTAGTTGTTGCCGCCCGTATTCATGACTAACAAGTAATGTCACATTTGTAATTTGAATTGAAAACATATAATGCATTGATATTTTAATAGACAAAACATAAAAATAAGAAAAACCAAAAACTAGTCAAATAAATAGGTGATTAAAGATGGAGGGAGGATTGTCTTGGTCATTGTACCCAACATATTCTTTTTTAGCAAGCCTTGAATAAAACTAGTGAACCGTAAGATCGAGGTGATATTTTAATGAGGTATGGTAAGATGTGTGATCTCACAGACCTGTATAAGACTGGCTGAAGACTATCAATGAAACAGGGTGCAACTACTTGAGGTGCCTTATTATAGTTTGATCTTATACAAGAAGCCTTTCTTATTCTTTTCTTAAGGATTAGATTATAGTAGAAGGGGGTTACAGATTTGACGCACTTGTCCGTTATAATCTCAGTTATTGTAGCCCTTGCTACTGACAAGCACATTTATTAAATACTTCTGTTGCAGGTTGTTGTACTAGCTGTGCTGTCCGTGTCAAATCTGGACAACTCCGTCAACCTGAGGCACTTGGAATATCTGCTGAATTAAAATCTCAGGTAGTATGTCAAGCTAAAACAAGTTCATTGCTGTACACTTGTACATCTGTCTGCGTGGAATTTCACGTCAACATCGCTGAACTGAATACATTGAATCCATGACAGGCTGTAGGCTTTCTATATAAGTGGAAAATTAGTAGGTGAAAACTTATATACAGATGATGTTATATATCTGGTAAAACCGTAAAATCATTGTCAGGGTATAAGTTTGAGGTGAAGTTATGGTTCCTTTGACTGATAAGAAGCCATAAAATTAATATATGAAAGAATCCCAATCAATTTCTGAATAATTTCTTTCAATCATATTCTGATGGCTTTGTTAGAAGCAGGGTTGATACTTGATAGTATATATTATACTTATTTTTGGCACAATGAATTCAGCTAGTATATTACTTTTTTTGGCTTAGGCCAGTCTAGATATAACTAAGTACTAGAAGCTCCAAGCTTAACTCTTAACTTCCTGATTGAATTTATTAGCCTACGTTGGAATTATATGACAAACCCCACAGTAACTTGTCTGTTGTTACTCAGTCATTGAGCCAAAAGAATGATTTGCTTTTGGATCCTTCATATTTTCCTCCTTTTGTCTCAGGGCTATGCACTTCTGTGTGTGGGCTTCCCATCATCCGATCTTGAAGTAGAAACACAGGACGAGGATGAGGTAAGGGGCAATAATTCAGGAAGACTATACTTTACAATCTTTGTCCTTCCGTTTCTTACTTGTAATTGTCCTTTTTTTCTTGTACCTATCCATTTTACTTCCACATTCCTCACCCACTTGTACAATTTTATATGTAAACCAAGTGTTAACAGGGGTGTATATATTTTGTATTGGTAGCTTTAGGCTTCATGCTTGTTTATTGCTGAAGCCTTGGTAATTACTGAGACAGATTTGACTGAAATATATATATCATAACCACAGGTATATTGGCTTCAGTTTGGGAGATATTTTGCCCGTGGTCCAATTGTAAGTTGTCAAATATAATTCATTATTACATTGTCATATACTTGGGGGTGTGGTGGGGGAGAAATGTAAAGCCATAATGGTGGTAGCGATCCTCAACTTTCTACAGCTCGATAATACTCCTCGTGATTCATGTGCAGGAAAGGGATGATTATGCATTGGAGTTGGCCTTGGCTGATGAATAGAAGGGGTCCTAGTCTCCTCAGGGCTGGTGACATTCCTCAAGTATTAACTCCCTTATCAACTTGCAGGTGTGTGATATCATCTGACCTACAGTTCAGCAAGTTCACACAAATGCTTAGAGCCTTCATACTATCAGGATTGTATGTGTAATGATATTAGGATTTCCTGTCTTGCTGTCTCCAGTGCATAAAAGAAAATCGATATTTAGAGGTCCTCTTTCCACAACACTGATGTAATCCATGTGTAACTTATAATTGCATGTTCTGTTCTTATTAAAGTGCTTAATGACAATTGTAATTAAAATTGTTCAGATTTGCATCACATTGTTTTTTTCGTACTCATCTCTCCGTTATCTATTGTTTGTCACATTTGGAATCTTGAAAGATTCTAATGGAAATAGAGTCTAGCCATTTTCGTTATCTTTGTCCTGAAACTTACACGGGGGGAGGTAGTCCAACACCTAGGCTAATTGGAGTACTTGAACCGTCACTCAACAAAGCATGATTAGACAAAGAACTCCCCTACATAGATGATTTAATGCTTTTCCCTTTTCTATCCTCTGTCAAATGTGATTTTCTAGCCTTGGTTCTTCCTTTTGACTCCCTCACTATCAACTCATTTATAACGTTAAACTCATGCAGAATATCAGAATTATGAGGATCGCACTTAGCTGCATAAACTAAGTCTTTCATGGCCTTCTCGAACTAATTCATCTACTTTAAACTTAAAGCTTTTCTATAACACTCACACATTTCTGGGATCAAATTCCAACACAAAAGTGCAGACCTCCATTACTATAGCAAACATATCAAGTTTAATAGAACACAAAGCAAGGTTAAACTTTAGGGAAGTGGCAAGCTCACAATTTAAGGTTTCCTCGTCCTTACTACCAATGAAGCAAAACATAAGATTTTGGTGGATTTAACTTAAGATAAAGTTTTATCAAACATTTTTCACTTAGAAAATAGATTACCCTCATCTTTCAAATTCACGTACATGGGTAAAATGTCTTCAAGACCTCAAAATGCATAATAAGATCTAGCACATCATTCAACTCCTCTTCATCCCTATCACCTTCTAAACACACATGATTAGAGAAGATTAAAGACTAGCAGGATTCAAAATTACCAAATAATTTAGAAATTACCCCTAAGATGATATTAAAGCCCCAAACTACAGACTAAGAACAGAGAATAGAATTGGTGTCAAATACTTTCTATGTAATTTCTAAGCATAGGCACACGTCCAAGCCATCAGTATGTAAATAAAGGTTATTACATGCAAAATAATTTTTATAAATTAATTGAAAACAAAAATGACACGACTTTAATTAAAGAATGACCTTATTCATGTTAAAACTACGACTATTTCTATAATGATATTACTTGTACAGTTATAAATTATGATACATATATCATATATGTAACAACTATTTAATTATATCAAGTACAATTGTACAATCACAATCCTCTATCATCAGATTCATCACACAATCATTCACAATACACACTTGTAAAGTTGTAAGAAGATATGGTTGTCAAAAAGAAAATGAACTTTTCAAAAAGCATTAAAAAAAAAGTGAGAGTAATGCCAATCAAGTGCCATATGTACTGAAAAGGACTAAACCACTAAATAAATAAAAATTTATCTAGTGGTTAGTATACAAAAATGACTTGGCGGGAAATAATGTTCATTACATTATTAACATTCAAAATAAAAATTGCCCCCAAAAAACAGCAATATAATTCCAAAAAATACAGACTCAATTTCCAATAATTAAGCGAAAAAAGAAGAAAAAAATAAAATAAAAGCAAAGAGCACTCTTTAAAAGAGCAAAATGACATACACCAAAAGACATCCAACTGTTCCATATAAAATATAAAAAAGTTAAAAAAATAAAAAAAAAAATACAAAACGTCACTTACAGTCTCAATAATAATATTTTTACACATTAATAATCAATTTAAATGCTAATTAGTACTTGACTACTATTATGTAGAGACTGAATCTAATGACATAATGTTCTTAGAATTATCTAAAAAAAACATTGAATCTTCTTTAAAAAATAATCAAGGAAAAAAGAATCATACGAGGGTAATAATGTCCATTCACTAGTCTTGGTCAAGGGAGAGCGAAAGCATAGGGAATTTGGAACACCTTTTAGAGAGAGAAACCAAACAATCATCCTTAGGGCAAATAGTGGGACAGAAATTGAGACCATCGCAGCCGTCAGTACGGTGTCGTTTAAAGTCCATCAACGTGGCGAACATCGCGATGAACACCACGAGCAAGTTGAGCGCGTACTTTTGCCCTACGCATTGGTGAGCCCCCGCGCCAAACACTAAAAAATTCCTCTTGAATAGCTGCTCTTCCCTCCTTTCCTCGGAATAGAAGCGGTCCGGGTCAAATCGGTCCGCTTCGGAAAACCCTTGAAAAGAAGACTCGTAAACGGAAGGAAAGACGATTGTACCCTTAGGAACAGTATAATCTTCTGAAATTTGAAACTCCTCGCACGCCACGTGTGGAACGAGCGTAGCGGGGGCGCGGTACCTCACGACCTCACGCGCCACAGCTTGCGTGTATTTCATTGAAATTAGCTGATCAGGTGTAATGAATGAATTCAATTCAATATTCCATATTGACTCAACTTCTTCTCGGACCTTCTTCAGAACTTCCGGGTGTGAATCCAACAAAGCGACGGCCCACAATAGCGACGACGTCGACGCATCTTGCGCCGCGAATAGAAAGTCAAACACATGAGCTCCGATCTCACGGTTGCTGCAATTCGGCGGCGGAGAATGCGGCGGTTGTTCCATTTCTCTCTCCTCCCTCACCATTTCCTGCATCCAAAAATCAACCAAACACTCAGGCTCTTCATTCTTCTCCATCTTCTTCTTACTCTCCTCAACGCAACCCGTAAGCGTTTCGACGAGTCGATCCACCGCGAGCCTCGCGTTTCGAAACGCGAAACCCGGGAAATCAAGTGGAAGAGCAATAACACCAACATTGAAGTAGTTATAATCAACCTTAAACCTCTCACGCGCTTCCTTCCCTAAATACGGCCCCGCGAAAACATTCTGAGAAGTTTCTAGATTCATCTCACGAGCCAAAAGCCGCAACCCTACCGGACAATGCGACTGATTTTCACTCCAAGAAATTAGATGCTTGAGGATCACTACTTGCTGGATATTCGAGTAAGTAGCCAACGCCTTCGGGGTGAAGTTCGGAGCAATCCGACGCCGAAGATCTTTGTGTTCTTGACCGTATAAATAGATCATGTTGTGCTCACCAAATAGCTTCTTCCCAAATGGGTGGCCTACTAGTTGGAATGCATTAGGCCGGACATTGGCGAATATCTTGTGACTCATCTCGGAGTTTCGAATGAAAACGAAAAACTTTCCGATGATGTAATTGACGGATATTCCGAGAGGGGTTGATTTGGCGTAGTCCGCTTGCTCGTCCCAGAACTTCTCCGGATCCCGAACTAACCCGACGACATTACCGAGAAATGGGAGTACCAGGGTTGGCCCTGGTAACCTTGATTTCTTCCTTAAGTACACGATTTGCTCGATTAGAATTATTAATGCGAGTAATGTTGCCAAATATGGAGTCGCCAACTTAAGAACACCCCAAATTTCAGATAAAATGGAGTAGTTCATGGCGGCGAGGAGATGATGAAAATATGTAATATACCAACAAATTTATTTTGGTTGTTGGGTTAAATAGGTTTAGCTTTAGCCCTTTAGATACGGGTTTTTTTTTCGACAACAATTTTTTTGTGGGTGTGGAAGGTTTTGAGAGGAGAAAAACAAGGAAAGGGGTGTTTCAAATATTTTTGATTCAAATAGGGTATGTGAATTCGGGTTAACACTTTTTCATTTATATTTATAATTTTAAGAAAAACGAATTAATTTAAGAATTTGGACCTCTCCTTCTCTCTCACTAAAGCTGTGGGAAGATGAAGGAAGATTAAGGAGAGAGAAAGTCAGAAGTTTTGAGCTGGAAAACGTTTTTCAATGGAATGCCAAAGAAGAATGGTGACTTGACCGACTTTAATTAAATAATATAATTGCGGAATAATATACACAAGCATTCCTTTCGCTTGCTGGCATGGGCGCACGGTAGTACTCCGTATTATTTTTGTTTAATTACTTGTTTTTAATTTAATACGAGTAGGAATTTATTAACATTGTAATGTACGAAGATAATGTAATCCATCAGTTTATGTGTTTGTTATATTGGAATTAATTAATAATCTTTTGCATATGATGTTAGTTGTTCACTTACCTTTTGATTTGATTGCGTAAATAAGATTTTGTTCGAGTTGAAATCAACCTCACAGGCTCACAGTACAAATGAAATCATGAGATTCATCGTTGACAATGTATTTGATCACATTTTTTGTATGGGATTCTTGTTTAATTGTTTGAAATTTACAGATAGTAAAGCATTTGATAAAGTCACAAGAGGAAAGCTTTATAGATTTGTTTTTTATGCCAAATGCATGTAATAAAGCGCTTGTCTTGGAGATTATATGGTAATACATAAATTAATCATTTCCAGGTGATACTTCATAGTTCATACTGCATTTCACTGGATGAGGGAGTGTTAAATAGTACATCCATTTTCCATGTTTTCCAAAGTTGCACGTTATTGTTCTCATTTTACATACCTGATTGCTTTGCATTTCAGGATAATAAACCTAGTACTTGGTATATATTTGACGTCTTTTCTATTTCTTATTAAGTGTACTGTCTACATTAATATTATTTTAGTTGTTGCCTTGATATTCATTACTACTTAATTAGGTAAATGACACAGTCTGACATTGAATCGGCAACAAATTATTCCTTAGTGCTTTAAAAGACAAAACACAATCAGATAGACTAAAAACAAGTTAGGTGGATAGGTAACTAAAGATGGAGTATTGTCTTGGTCATTATTGTCTCATTAAATCAAATCTTAGAGATTGGTTTATTAATATGATGCCTCACTTTGGTAAGAAAGTATAGCATTTTTTGTTTCTTTTGAATTAGTATGCCTCACTTTGGTAAAAATTAAATTGGTTCAGTTGGAGATGTAAGCTTAAAATAGCTTTTCTACATTATAATGTACTTCCTTTACTGTCCCTTGGAACGCTTTTATGTACTCCATACATTTTTAGCAATCCGGCCTTGTATTTATTGAGTGAACTATGAGATTAAGGTGATATATTCATATACGACTAATACGAGTATATATGAGGTTTAAGTTTCATGTGTGACCTCATAGACCTGAACAAGATCAGCTGACTTAAATGAGACACAGAGTGACTTAACATGCCTCACTCTATATACGTTTATCTAATTTAAGAAGCCTTTCTTTTCTAATACATATATTTCTCTTAACTACAGGTATAGTTAATAATATAAGGGGTTTGTGTACCCTTTTTCGTCATAATCTGAGTTATTATGCTATTAATGGTATGTTGGGTTCCTTTTTTTCCCCTTTTGGGAAATGGTTGACATGGACACATGGTTGGGATTTGGTCGAGGAGGGGTGCAACTAGTGCAAGCAAGAAGAGGAGAATGAAGCTCCATTGAACATTCTTAAGTACTTTAATCTTGTATTATTCTTGGATTTGTGGGACATTTTTCCCTGCTCGTAACCTGTTCCTATATATGAAGAATCAATGCAAGTATGTTAGCAATTGCAGCCCTTGCTATTGACAAGCTCTTTTAATAGATACTTTGTGCTGCAAGTTGTTGTACTAGCTATGTTGTCCGTGTCAAATCTGGACAACTCCGTCAACCTTATGCACTCGGAATATCTGCTGAATTAAAAGCTCAGGTAGTTTGGGTCAAGCTAAAACAAGTTTGATGTTGTACACTAGAACATCTGTTTGAATATTATATATTGAACCCACAAGCTGAGGGTCTTCTATATAATTGGACATTTAGTAGCTAATGAACTCATCAATCCAATGTATTATATTTCTAGCAAAAATCATTCTCAGGATACAAATCAAAGGTGAAGATATGGATTTTGACTGATAAAGAAGCCTTTTTTACGATAAAATTCTGATTAATTGCTGCTATTCTGATGGCATTGCGAGAAGCAGGGTTGATACTTGGTTGTATATTTCAAATGAGTACATAATTTTGGCACAATGAATTAAGCTAAAATGTAACATAACTGGATTGGACCAGTTTGTAATTAACTGAATGTGAGAAGATCCTGTAAGCTATCCTGTATTCCTGTTTAACTTCCTAATAGAATTTAGGAGGCTACATTGGATCTATATGATACATGTATTTTCTTGTATTTATCCATTTTATATCCACATTCTTCCCCCCATTTGTGTAATTCTTGATGTAAACCAAGTGTTTATAATTTTTTTTTTCAAATTCTGTATTGGTAGCTTTAGGCTTCATGCTTATTTATTGTTGAAGCCCTTATAATGACTGAGGCACTTTAAACTGAAAGATGTATAATAATTGCAGGTCTAATTGCTTCATTTTGGGAGACATTTTGCTTGTGGTCCAATTGCAAGTTGTCAAATATAAGCCACTCAAAAGTTACATTGTTGTAATCTTGGGGGTATGGTGGGAGAGAGATGTTAAGCCATAATGGTGGTGGTGAACTGGTGACCCTCAACTCTCTACAGCTCGATAATGCTCCTCATGAATCATGTGCAGGAAATGGATGATTACGCATTGGAGTTGGCTTTAGATGATGAATAAACGAGGTCCTCATTTCCTCAGGGCTGAAGACATATTCAAGGGCATGAAGTATTGACTCACTTTTCAACTTTCAGGACTCAGGTGTGTATCTTCAGACCTTCAGTGCAGCAAGCTCACTTAACTGATAACTGTCTAGAGTCTTTATACAATCAGGATTGTGTACTGACATTAGGAAGTCCTGTCTCTGTTGCGTAAAGATAATCGAATTTAGGGGTTCTTTTTTTTCTACAATAGGTTATTCTGATGTAATCCATGTGTAGTTTATAAGTGCATCCTGCTCTTCTTAAGTGCTTACTGATAACTGTAGAATAATTGTTCAGAATTTGCAAGTCATTGCCCTGTTATCACATTTGCTGTTCTTAGTTTTCCCATTGACTTTGCATTTCGTGGTTACGTTAAATAGGACTTTACATCATCTGCTAATCTGCACTTGATCTTGAGCTTAATTATCAGGATCATCAGGTATATGCGTGGATCTAATGGTTGTGTGCATCTATCTTCAGGCAATATGTGTATGTGGTGGTGTAATTCAAAGTGTCAAGTTGATTGACACATTGTACCCATTGGTTAGTTATGCGTACTTCAAGTCTTCAACCCATTAAGAATACAGTTATTAATTATGGTTATGGTTATGAAACTGTGTAAATCTTCTAGGAAAATCTCATTCTAAAGTCCGCAGTGATACTGTGATACTATATACCATTAGGTATACATCTATAATTGTGATGAGTGAAAGATAACATGAACTAGGAAAGTACATATGAGAGTAGAGTTGCATGCTCTTGGACATTACCATTAACCTTTCTACTAATCCACCGTCCATCATCATTACCATCTACCAAACAAAAGGGGTAAGATTAAAGAGTCCGAGTAACATAGATCAATCGAGTACAAGTAGCAAAGTACATATCAGAGTAGAGTTGCTTTCTCTTGGACATTACCATTGATCCTCTTACTAATCCACAGTCCGTCATCATTACCATCTACCAAAACATTATATTAAAGGTCGGATTAAAGAGTATGAATAACATAGATCAAGTTTAGACACCTTGATGTAAATTTCGGACTGTGTGTTCTGAAATGGACACTTTCTACCTGAATTATTACTATGGAGTATTATCTGATAGTTGATTAAACAAGAGGAATTGGCTATTTCCAAATCTGCAGCAAGATATGCAAGAATACATTCAAGTCAAGTGGAAATTTTTTTCATGTCCTTATTGTGATAGAGCACTATCGGTCTAGAAAGGACTTTGTTGCGCTATTTTTGTAACTGTAAGCTTGGTAAAGGAGGGCCTCACAAAATTTTGTCCTGCTTTTTGCTACATTTTCAGAGTTTTGTGGATAAAATGACCCTGTTTTGGCAGTAATCTGGATGTTTCTTTCATTAAGTCCTTACCTCTCAATTAATTTTCCACCCACAAATATCTTGGTTTCCAATCAGTGAGTAAATCTTGTTTTTAGTTTGTATGACGAACTTGTTAACCTTTGTCTGAATTTTTGTAATAATGTCGTTGCTAACATTTGACTTATCTTAGTTTTATCTCTAAACTTTGTTGTAAGGTAAAAAGAACAGAGTCTAGCAACATTGATACGTAATACCTATGATTTAAAAAAGACACATGTTGTAGAATGAACGTAATAATTTGATTTGATTGTAAATTTCATAATCCAGAACTGGGAGAATGGTGAGTTATTGATGGTGACTTTTTTTAGCAACATAATACAAGTTAGAAAAATGAGTAACATAATAAGTATACTATTAATAATAGCTAGAAACTATTTCATACTATAATGAGCATGATGTATTAAGGATTTGAACCCTAATGATGAGCTAGTTGAAGATTAATTTGTATTAACGGAAGCTATAATCACACATCAAAAGACAATACAAACCCATTGAAATTGAAGTTTCTTTCACACAGACTAACACCTTTTAACCTATCTTAATCTACCCTTTTACAAAACGGTATTAGCCACTAGGCGAAATTCGACGAAAATCGCTTATTTTTTCTTGGAAAAACCTCAAGGGAAAAACAGGAAAAGAATATTAACCTCTATATACCAGAAGATTTATGCCAATGGAGACCTAATTGCCGGATAATAATACAAATAAATTTGTACTCATAGTAGTTTTCTCTTTTTTATCAGCTGTTGTTGAACTTCTGTTCTGGAATACTTGCTGATGCCTGCATTTCATTTAGCAATTAAATCAAATCCACAACATATAAATATAATTTTCCTCCAAATCTATACCATCAATTTTAAAATTAATAGCGCCTTTTTACACTTAAAATCATTAAAATTTAATACGACGTAATTTGGAAGACATGTAATAGGAAAAAAACTTTAATACAAGGGGCATAATTGTTATTAGTAATTGTTGGTTTCTTAGCGACATAATGATTTGATGATTCATATATTATTGAAAGTAACATTTGAGGATGATGAGAT